ATGGATGCCTGGATGTTAAACTCAATTGTTACACCTGGTAGAGCAGAACGCTGATCATTTTATTAAAGATGAAAGACTTTAGACAGTTTTTCAACTCTCAGTAATGCCATAGTGATCGTTTGATATATATGGACCTGCAGCGGAGTTTAGGTCCAGACACGACTAGTGACGTCAGACTGAACAACCGGATAAGCTTTAGCAAAAAGGAAAGTTCTAGCCTAATATTGAAAGTAGTGATAGTGTGTCTGTCTCCTAAATCCAAACTGGGAGCTGGTTCCACAGAAGAGGAGCCTGAAAGCTGAAGGCTCTGCCTCCCATTCTACTTTTAAATAATTTAGGAACCACATGTAAACCAGCAGTCTAAGAGTAAAGTGGGGCTTTTGTAGCAAGATGGGGCCTGATTATTCAAAATGTGAGAAGTATTTTGAATTTGATTCTAGATTTCACAGGAAGCCAATGAAGATAAGCCAACATCGGGGGGGGTAGTCCCTGTCGGTACTCCCACTGCAGCATTCTGCATCAGCTGAAGGCTTTCCAGGGAACTTAAGTCTGACATTTCTTTTAAAAAGATCATAGAGATAGTATATCAATGGTTTCCTGGTAATGGTGGATTCATGGGTATTTATAGTTTTTTCAAATTACATTATCCTATTTTTCTTCCTCTTTCTGTGAAACACTACAAGATTTAGATGACTCATCTTGAACTTGGGGGCAAATACTGTAAATGTATAACATGTAATTTGATTTTGGGCCAGCAGCTCAAGGCTCTGCTTACCGTATAAAAATGCATAATCGCTCATGTATCACAGCTTACCAGAGTGATATTACAGGAGTGGGGATATCTTGGCAAAAAGAGAAATTTGGGAGGACGACAACAGTCCTCTACAGCCCAGTAGCTTTTCTGCACCTCTTCTGCACCTCTTTCTACACCGCATTCACCGTTGAGCAACGCAGTCATACCCGAGACTTTAATCAAATCCTTCTCATAATTAGAGCATGTTTTTGGGTTCGTTTGGATGAAAATCACCTTACAGAAGACAAAGGAGCTTCTGTAAGCTTTGAAAAGTGATGCATTTGAATTTTGAAGTAGAGAATTAAATAAAGCACCATGTTCTTTCTTAGCTTTGTGTCAGCAGTTTATAGTTTGACCTGTTCCAACACCCTGTGGTCAAAGGCCTGCCCATGAAGAAATGGCTTTCCCCTGTCTCATGTGAGACGTTGACATAAATACTGATTTTTACATCTCAGGAAACGAGTTGCAAGCTCACTATGTGTTAGGATCTGAACTAACTCAATGAGACACCACAGTCAGAAAATACCTCAAACTATGTTACTTGGTGTCTGTCAGTGGAGTCTGATGGAGTGTAACAGAATCACGTATTTGTAACAAAAAAGCGAGTAAGGTGGGGAAAATATCAAAATATACTCCATATAGTGTAGTCAAATGAATGTCACTTCTTTAATAGGTGGATAAAATCCACAACAGTTCATGGCTTTAGTTGAGTACCCAGTAGTGCCTTTTTCTAGTTGGGGTTGTGGCCTGTAGCCTTGTGCGTCAGGTAAATGATTCTCAAACTTTGCTTCAAAGAAACTCTGAGTGAAACCTGTTTACTCAGTGACAAATAAAATTTGAATTTGAGTGTTTGATTATTTCAAACATCAGAAAGAGATATGTGAAACTGTTTTACGTATTAACTATAAAATTACATTTCATGCGTTAGACAAAGATTATTCTGTTGTTTTGGGAAGCTTTTCCAGATACCTAGATAAGTAAAAATAAAGATGATACTGGTCTTCCTCAGCCCCATCCAAACCCTTCGAGTGCTTCCATTTGATGTGGCGTCTCATACAGTTTTGTTCCAAGGCTTCAACTCACACCGCAAACATTTCAGAAGCTGAGTGTTTAGCCTGCACAGTTTCTTTCATTTTGGAAACCAAATTCAGTCCTTTATCCCCAAACAGATTTTCTTCGAGACAATTTTTGAAACGTGCTCTGGTACATCTGGTGGAGTTACAGGCATTGTCTCGAGTGGGGGTTATATTCTCTTTTGGCTCTCTTGATATTTTCCCAAGATGAAGAGCCAGGCCTGATGAAAGTCACAGAACCCATTCACTAACCTGTTGGGAAGTCTTTCCAGAAAATATAGAGGCTGCCACAGCAAAAGAATTATGGCTGCACAAGCTTGTTGATGCAAACACAATGCAGATTGGAAATGTTGACAAATTTACCAAAGCCAACAGAAAATTATTTATACAAAGAAACTCCAGGTTCTCCACTCTGAAATGAGAAATGAAATCATGCATTTATTCATATCCTCCTTCTATTCCCTCTCTGACCTGTCTGCTCTTTGAAGGGGAACTCCTTTGAAGTGCGTCAGCATCTGTGCAGTGAAGACCCTCCAATTAGCTCAGACAGCTAACAAGCTCCACAGGGCGGCTCCATACAGATGACAGTACCTGCAGCTGGGGTCACAGACAGCTGACCCTCTCTGGGCTGCATGCTAACAGCTGTAGGCCCGAACCAAAAGTCCTCTCAGGCTTTGATCAAACACCGCTTGACTGAACCGGCGGGATGGTGATGGTGAGGTCTACATAGAGCAGTTCTTACAGAAAATCCTGGTTTTATTTTCCTTTCTCTCGTCTTTGTTTTTCCATTTAGTGCTGAAAGAGGAAATGAAATCACTGAATGAGGATTAGGTTGAAACTGCTTTTGTCTGGTAGCTAAAGTAGCCGGGCATCTTAGCACAGCACCGCCAGTAATGAGAAAGGTACTATCCCATCAGGCACACACATACACACCACACTTTTATTCTATGAATATTAATGTCATCTGAAGCCCGTGTGATGGCTGAATTAAAGCATGTGTTTGCTGCCTGAGTGCTCTGTTTCAGAGGCCGATCATCATCTGTGATCCATCTGTTAAACATCATTTTTAAGCATGAGTTTTTGTTATGGGTTTGGTCCTAAATAGGTAATGGGTATATAAGGCCTTAGAAAGGGTGAATTTACAAAGAGCTACTTATATGCATGTTACTGACACATTATATTTGTTTATAATAGCATTGCAAAGCCATTTATTGATTGTATTAATCTATATGTACATTTCTTATTAGAGAGAGCTAAAAAACTGTGAAAACAATAAAGTTGGAGCAGTGGTCACTTCATAGCAAGCTACAACCGGTTCACATTCACCAGCTGGGATGTTTGGATGCTCTCCCTGTGCCTGTGTGGGTTCTCTCCAGACTCCACAGACACACATAATGGGCTAACTGGTATTTCTAAATTGGCTGCAAGTGTGATTGCAAGGTTGAATGATTATCTGTCTCTCCGTGTTAGCCTTGTGATAGACAGTAAAAGACCTAGATGCCGCTTGTCAAGAACTATTCAACAAAACAAAACAAAAACAAACAAACAAAAAACACTTAACAGCCCACACGTTTTTACCTCCTGCACAGCTCGCCCCAACGTCACAGAGGTATGTTTAAAAACCAAAATACTAACAAATTACATCAAATCAAAGTGTTTAAATACCCATCTCTCTCCTCACGTCACGCCACACAGCTGTTCTGACTCTGACAATCACAGGACAAAGTACTGATAGTACTCTGTTAAACCAATTCATTTTCACATTTGAATGTTTTTTTTTAAAACAAGCTAAAATATAATCAAAATTAGGCCGATTGAAATGTATATAATCCTATTAACACATATTGTAATATATTAACAAGCTACAAAAGTGTGAAAATACAGTGTGGGTTCAATTCCAGTTTATTTCTCTGGTAATTCAGAGCAATATGTACAATATTTTGTGCCACTCGTTGATTAAATTAGGTGAGCAAAATCCCGAGGCTGAGACCCCAGTGGAGCCAAAATGATCATCATTAAATCAAATCTGGATCAATGTGATTCAAAAGAATCTAAATGTAATCAAATCATGAGGTTGCCAGATTCTGACCCATAGTAACCCTTCCCAGGACATTGTGTCTCGTTTAACCTTTAGTCCGCAAGTAAAACCACAGAGATAACCAGTGTGATGGTGTAACTGCTTTTTGAAAGAGGTATGTTTTACAGATTCTGGGAAATGTTACACACATCCTTACATTAGGAACATGAATATTTCATGGAGTCCCTACTGGAACCACAGCATCCTTTTATGTAAGAAAGCATTAAAAACCTTAAGAGCAACGCATCATTTAGATTTGGAAGCCTTGGTAATTTCAGTAAATGTTAGCAGTCAGTTCAGCGCAGATATGTTAAAGTTACCACAAACATCGAACAAAAGTGCGAGAGCGGAATGTGGAGAATTCCCAGATAAATGTGGAGTTGTGTGGTCCGTGACTGATGAGATTCCACAAGAAGAGGAAAAAGGGTGCATAAAAAACTTTAAATAACAATTAGAAAGAGAAAATAAAGTGGAAATCAGTCTGTGCTGTGATTCACACTTGGACTGTGAATACGCTATAACTGCTTAATCAGAACATCTGTGATTTGGGCCAAGTTAAACCAATATAATAAAAATATACAGAAAGGAAATGAGTCTTGAACCAGAGCTTTTTTTTGGCAGCCACAGGGACAGAATTAAATTAAAAACAAATAAACAAACTGCTGATGAATCTCCATCTCTTAAATGCTAATTGTATTGTTTTGAGGGCAAAATCTCACAGGCCAAATGTTCCACACTTTCCGCTACAAAGAATTACATATATTCTCAAAGACTGAGAGTTTGGGGACCATTTTTGAAAGATTTGTATCCAAGAAAAAGCCAGCCGGAATAACTGATTTGTATAAGCTATGCAGTGGATATAGATTCTCTTTCTCTTTCACTGTTGATATTAATGTTCAATAAAGATGAACCCCCCCTCCCACCCCTAAAAAAAACAACAACATGTTTCTCCTTCTTAAAGAACATCACAAAGTGCATGAGTCTATGTTGATGTGTGAGAGTGAAAGCCAAGGCATGCCAATGAGACATGGAGTGCGTCTCCAACATGTTAGATAACAGCTGTTGTCTGCAGCACGTTGATAAGCAGGTCGCACCGAGCGGGACATGGCAGCATTTTCCTCAAGAGGTAAATGAAGAAGAAGAAGCAGCTAAAAATACGACAGCGGCAGACAACAAACATCCTGACGAGAGACATCACACATGTCGAAGCGCATCATTTAACACGCTTGGATATGAGAAAACTGCCATTATCACTCCACTTAAAATTCAACTCCTCGTGTCAGTTATTTTTCCAATTACAGTTAGAAAACAAGATATTAAAGATAAAACTAATATTGGTGGTCTCGTTCTCCAGTGCAACCCTTTCCTTCACAACTGTGCACTTTATCCCCTCTCTAAAAAGCTGAGCTCACTCTGGGCAGCAGTTTTGCAGATCTTTCTTTGGACAACCAAATGCAAATTTAATTGAACCCCAATACATCTTTCTTTTATTTGTGTTTTTAGGATTTTCTAAAGCAACAATTACCAAAAACCTCTGAAATCAGATGCGCTCTCCGTATTGGGGAAAAAAACAACCTTATCTAGGGCTTATTTTGAGTTTGCCTTTAACAGCAAATGTCTTTCTCACCCTCGACCTGTCTTGGCAGAGTGTCGCCCCTCCCTGAGCCTGGTTCTGCCAGAGGTTTCTTCCTGTTAAAAGGGAGGTTTTTTTCTTCCCACTGTCGCCAGTGCTTGCTTATAGGGAGTCATTTGATTGCTTGGGTTCTCTCTTTATTATTGTAAGGTCTTTACAGTACAAAATAAAGTGCCTTGAGGTGACTTTTGTTGTGATTTGGTGCCAAAATGTAATATTTTATAACAGACTAAATTATGAAGATTGATGTGTTTGACAATCGGAAGGAGCCTTGCTAATAAAGCACATTTCCTGTTTTAAATAGTACCACTTAGTTTATATTAGTTGAGATGCAGTTATTGTGTTAAGTGAGCAATAACTTACTGCATATGCACTATATACTTGTGATTTAATACAAGTTTTGTAGAGACTTGGTAATAAGTCTGACTCTACTAAAGCCAACATTTGGATATGCTATGACTGACAGAGATACACACTATAAGGCCAAAAGTACTCGCTCGCCTGCCTTCACATGCATATGAACTTGAGTGACATCCCATTTTTAATCCATAGGGTTTAAATGATGTCAACCCACCATTTGCAGCTATAACAGCATCAACTCTCCTGGGAAAAGTTTTCACAAGTTTTACGAGTACATGTCTATGGCCAGTCAATTTCTTTCACAGCAAACTCACTCATCCATGTCTTTATGGCCCTTGCTTTGTGGACTGGTGCACAGTCACATTGGAACACGAAGGGGCCATCCTCAAACATCCTTCAAAGTTAGGAGCATGAAACTATCCAAAATGCCTTGGTATGCTGAAGTATTAAGAGCTCCATTCACTGGAACTTAGTAAAAGGATGCAGTGAAGACCCTCCAATTAGCTCAGACAGATGCAGTGGTCTAAAGCACCACTGCAACCAAAGCTTTGGATTGTGCTTGGTGATGTAAAGCTTGGATACAGCTGCTTGGCCATGAAAACCCATTCCATGAAGCTCTCTACAGACTGTTCTTGATCTAATCTGAAGGCAACATGAAGTTTGGAGGTCTGTAGAGATCTACAGAAAGTTGCTGACCTTTGTGCACTATGCTCGTCAGCATCCGCTGACCCTGCTCTGCGGTTTTATATTGCCTACCACTTTGTAGCTGAGTTTCTATCATTCCTAATAACTTCCACTTTGTTATAATACCACTAACAGTTGAATTTGGAATATTTCACAACTGGACTCGTCACGTATTTGGAATCCTATCACTGTATCACGCTGGAATTCCTGAGAACAACCCGTTCTTTCACAAATATTTGTAGAAGCGGTCTGCATGCCTAGGTGCCTGATTTTTATACACCTGTGGACATGGAAGTGACTGGAAGACCTGAATTCAATGACATGGATAGCTGAGTGAATCCCTTTGGCAATACAGTGTATGTCTTTCCCTGTTATATTCATTAAAATATGCCTATGCTTCAGTAGATGAAACATTTGTTAAAAAACAAACAAACAAAACCTTAGTGGATCTTGAAATATTTCTTTCTTCTTTTAACAGCTGGGTCTACTCTGAATGTAATTCAGTTTCTTTGCATCTTTCTGAAAAATAAAATTCAGCCAACAGAAAATGCAAATGTTTAAAAATGGAGAAATCTTTGTCAGCAGAAAAGTTGAAGCAGGTTGAATGCATACGAGAACATGCAGCACCTGAATGAATAAACACATGAATAAATGAATATGTCAGTGAAAGCCTGTCTGACTCACTGGGCTGCTTCACATGTATACATGAAGTACTAGCCTTTAATGTGCAAGTCATTCACAAACAGCTGTGTGAAGCACCTAATCTCGATGGTTTCAAACTACAGAGATCAGTTCTGTGTCAGTCTCAACACATACACACTCTTTTAAAACATATCGAGAGGCCAAAAGCCTACAAACCCACCGCAATTAGAACACTCCGCGACGACAGCAGCTTCCTGTTCTGGATAAACAGCTACAGCTACAGCTACAAGTCACTGTATATCTGTTGCTTATCAAGAGGGAAATGTTAGCACCGCAATCACTTTCTTTCCTTCCTACTTTGTTTCACAAACTTCCATCAGTCTCATTTTCAGGCCATCACTCGCATAGCTGACTGCATATTAACACAGAAACACAGCAAAACCCCATAAGAGCCTGCACTCAGCTCTTAGTCATCATCACCACTGAATGCGGCTAATAGCCAGCTGAGTAGACCTCTTAAGGCAGCCGAGCCAACACACATGATGATGTCTCTTCTTCACTAAAATTCATTGGCACCAGTGTTACAGCTTCTCAATGCTGCCAGTTATTCTCCGTTTCTATTTGGGCTGGGAGATCTTCTCTGTAGTCCAACAGACATTTATTAACTCCAGTGTCATTGCTAACAAGTGAGATAATCACTGGATGAGTTTAACACTGCGCGGTTAAGATTTTAACACCTGCCAGGTCATTGGTGATTGGTCTTGGGTTAAGGTTAGTTTTTATTTTCCCCACATGGAAAATGGTCAAATTCTCAGAAACAGAAAGATGTTGCCTTTCAAGTGAAGTGTCATGTTTTCATTTTGACATCACAGTTTTCCTTTAAAAAATGTTTTCCATTTGGGTATTCCAAAAGTCAAAAGTACATCATGACTAACCTTTACCCTTAACACACACATGCACACACAAACACACAATACAACGCTGCTGAGAGTGTAAGAGTGTTTACAAGATCTTTTGAGTGTTTACTTCCTACTTCAAGTATGTTGACAAAGACTACATACCATAATCATTGGATCAGAATCAGAATCAGAATCAGAATCAGAATCAGAATGGGGTTTATTGCCAGATGTTGAGGTTTACAACATTAGGAAATTGCTGCGGTGCTTCAGTGCAAACAATAAGAATTAAAGTGCTATGTAGAAAGAAAGATATGTGCATGAGATATACATGAGATATATACATGAGAATATGAATTATGAGTGCTACGTAGAAAGATATATACATGAGTGCAGGTGGTGATCAGTGCCAAGCATGTAATGGTGCAGTGACACAGCGTAGGGTCATGTGTTTGTGGCGGGGACAGTCATGTGGTTATTGTTCATGTGTCCAACAGCAGAGGGGAAGAAACTGTTCTTATGGCGAGAGGTTCTGGTGCGAATGGACCGGAGCCTCCTGCCTGAGGGGAGCAGGTCAAACAGACTGTGTCCAGGGTGAGAAGGGTGAGAAGGATACCACAGCTAATGTTTTTATGCTTCTCACTTTTGAATCTTTAACTTAAGGCATTGAATTTTCTAAATGGCCACAATTTTTCAGTTTAGGGAAACATACTCTTTTTTTTTATGTGCACGTTTTTGAACAATGGGGAATTTAAATGCCCAACTTGGTCTCAGTTTAGACAAAAAACAAACAAACAAACAAACATGTAAACAAGAATTTAAAAAACACCAGACACGATGGAGCTATTGTGGAAAAATATAAGCACCAGTGTCTGAAAATAATGTAAAAATATTACTCCTAAGCTCAGGATTTCTATGCAGCCAACGATGATGAGACTCTAATATCATTCAAAAAGTGCAAATCTAATTGATGCTTAAAAATGACTTGTTATCATCAATTTTCAAATGGCTAACAAAACACTTCTTTGTAACAACCATTACAAAAGAGTATGCATGCCCATCCTGACACGTGTGTCGAATTCTCAACCATTTCCCTGAAATATCAACTTATGTGCTCCACCCAGATTCAGTTAAACAGCTAAAAAGATACCAGGCCATCATATTTGTTTGGCTCTTTTTGACTCCCTCACAGTCTCCTTCCAACCCTCTCAGGCTCAAATTAAACTTTTTGTTGCTAATGCACAACCAAGTCCTGCAGTGGTACTTCTGAGTAAAAAAACAAAAAAACAAACTCATAAAATATGTATGTGGGGTAATCAGGTTGTTAGTTTTTAACTGTTGCAAATCTGCAACGCCTGCCTCGAGAGGGTTAATGTGTCCCACCTGTTTGTCCTTCGCTGGTTTCCTCCACAGCGGATTCTTTTCACCAGCAAACACGAAGCCCTGTGAAAAAGAATGAAAAGAGGCCACTAAGTTTTAAACACAAGTTAAAGTTTTTCCTTACTCTATGATGAGAAATGAGTATATTCGCTCCAGATACACATACATTCATTTCAAAGTGTGAAGAGTTGCGAGCATTAACTTGCACATAACCATGTTGGTTACATGCCAGCATGCTAACATGAAACTAGCGTGGCTGATTAGATTTATTATCAATCTAATTATAATGATGACATTAAATTAATACGCTGACAAGAAGATGAGTTGGAAAAAAAATCCCCTTGAATTCCCTCTAATGATCATCTGACCTTTAGATCATCCTCCATCGACACAACCCTAGTTTCCAGTTCTGTCTCTTTTAAAATAGGGGCCAGTTTCAATTTCTCATAACATGCACGACTGAAGAGCCAGCAGACCAGACAACAGTTGAGACTCACACCAGTCTTATCAAAGCATCTTGTGCAGGGGTTTTTGCATCACAATAATGCAAATGCAGCTTCCTTTATAAGAAAAAGAGGATATTAAAATTAATGGTAACACTTTCTTGCAGGGAAACTGAGCAGCACTGCAGATTTTTACAACTTGGGTCAGTAACCTTTTACATCATAGGAACTTTTTCATATCTCCAGGATGGTAAATGGTAAATGGCCTGTATTTATATAGCGCCTTACTAGTCCCTAAGGACCCCAAAGCGCTTTACATATCCAGTCATCCACCCATTCACACACACATTCACACACTGGTGATGGCAAGCTACATTGTA